TTATTGGTTTACTTCAAATGGGCAACATATTTGGATTAATTAAAAATCAGAAGCATCTTAAAAATTAGTTTTTAAAAAGACAACTGTTTTTATTCTTTCTAGATCTTACCAGTCATATACTCTATGTTCAGAAAAATATAGATTTAAATCCTACTAATTTCCAGGGGGAGCGGCAAAAACAAAAAATGCATAAAGAGATTGCATTAAACTTCAGGCATTCTTAAGAGTTATGTAGTTGAATACATTTTGAAATAATTATTTTGGAATCAAATATATAAGAATCTCATATCTAAACATAGTAAGATAATTCTGATTTTAACTCCTTTAGTTCCATAATCAATACACAATTCTTTAGGGTGATTTTTTAAAATTTCTAATTAAAATTCCTATTTGTTTTATATCGAAGTTCTGATACACAGTTCATTATCAAACAAACTTTAAATATTAGAACTTATCTTAACTAGTTTTAAACTGTAGATGTTTCAATGTAATCTACATTTTCTTCCTAATTTTTCAGCATACATTTGATTATCTGGAAATATTTTTTTCTTTTTTAAAATTTATGATTAAGTTTATTGACTGCTCATCTTACCACAGGATAATTCTGATACATTATATCTTCCTGGGCAATCTATTTACAGATACATTCCTAGGGCTGTATTCTTATATTTAAATTCATCTGTTTATGAAAATAATAATTGGTTTAGCAGGTATTGAGTTTTCAGCTTAAACTGAAACTTAACTGAAATATAAGTTTGATAAAAATAATTGCCAATTTCAAAGATGTACAATGTATTTTTAATATACAATAAAATACATTAAATGTGTCTGATATATACAAAAAATAACTGATTTCTGTATGCATTTGATGCAAATTTGCCATTTACAACTAATGCCTTATTGAGATTGTAAAGAAGAAAAAAAATTGAAGTTTTTAAAATATTATTTTTATCAAATTTATATCGCTTATGAGAGAACCTAACAATACTTAAAGATTAAAGGAAATGAAAATGATTGCTTTATTAATAAAAATAAGTTACATTGGGCTGTTACCATTAGAGGAAAATCAGATAAATGAGAATTTCAATCATTCAAACATTTTATTTTTTCAACTTAACTTTCTTATTCAAATGAAGTATCAATTATCCCAAGGTGCTTTGAATATAGAAATACAAGTTAAAGGAAATATAATAGAAAAAAAGAAAAATGAAATGAAGATAACAGGAGTTAATTGTGCAATATTCTGAAGTTAATTTGAGGCAATATTTTAATTTTAAGAAAAGAAGGAAAAGGGAAGTGAAAAAAAAAGGCTAATATATTCTTGATAAAATGTAATCATCAAATGTTAAATTATTGTTAGTTCTTTTTGCACTGACTGAGTATAAGCAGATTGTCCCATTCTTAAAAATGATTTTGCAAGTTCTTGTAGTTTAATTATTTAGCTGTATCTACTGAAATTACTATGCATCTACTAAACCCTTTTCACTGAAGACTTAAATTTTCAGTCAGAAAAGGAGCAAAGCCTCTTGGCATTTTAAAGATTAATAAATGTGTTGGGATACCTAGGTAACATTTCCAGTTGCTCTCTCTCTCTTTCTCACCCTCTCTTCTCCCTCTCTCACACACAAAGAGAGAGTGGGGGAGGGAGAGAGAGAGAAGGGGGGGGAGAGAGAGATGGAATTAGACACAGAGGACTACATAGGAAAACAAAACAAAATTAATAACTTTAAGACTGTTTACTAACTTCATAATAAAAGTATTGTCATGTTTATAAAACACATATTGTAGATACACACTTTTTAAAGTCAAAACAATTATATTAGGAAAAAAATAAATTCAGTATTATCATCTATAAATAAGTCATTGAAATTACAAAATGTTAGGTATGCTATTTTTGCAGGCATATATTTAAAATATGGTGTTTAAAAGACAGTAAATTCAGAAAAGTTACTCAGGACACCTTGATTATTCAATCTGAAAGACCAAAAAACATACAGATAAAGCTTCTCTTTAATTGCAAGCAACTATACCTCAAGGGAAGAAACTATGTGTTAGGAAAATTATTTTAATATCTTTGCTAAGAGGGTAAATTGGTTTGGGAAATCGATTCAAAGATGATATTAAAATATGTGTACAAATAAAAATAATTTTAAGCTACCTTCAGACTGCTTTTTAAAGAAGTTGCTAGTTTTAAATATTTCTGTAAACACTTGTTAGTTTTTGCATAACTTGATATTTCTAAAGTGAAATTTAGGATATAATTTTAGGGGGTTCTAATAAAAATAGTTCAATAATTGTAGGATTTTTTTAAGTAATCAAAGAAGGGCTTATTAAGTTGCATCACATTTGCAAAAAGTTCGAATTTATTTGTAGACCTTAACGTAAAAAAAAAAAAATAACGTTTAAGGATTATCTCTGTCCAGATCCCCATTACTATGAATTTTATTCATCCAATCTCTCCGGAAGACTTAAAAAGATCAAAGCCCCTGATCGCTACCATTTTAGGAGCCCTACTTCGCATTTCTAAAAGCAGAACGGAATTTCGAGACTGCTGTTCTCTGTAGATCAAATTTCTAGTTCAATTAGAAAATCGATCTCTCCTGCCCACCTTTCACCCTCAATAGTTGTAATGGGATTTTTGGTTAAAGTCATGTTTTGCTTTTAAAACAAAACAAAACAACCTTTGGCAACCTCATTGCGAGTTCACTACAAGGACTCAAGTCTTCCATTCATAAGCCCTGTGCAAATCAAGAATCCAAATGAAAGTTTTACTCTAGCCGGTTTATGGAAGAAAGCATGCACGCTGACGCTCGCACGGCAGCCATTTAAAGGGCCAGCACATTCCGACGATGCAAGCTCCCCATCCCCCCTTGCCATTTCCCTTTCCCGCCCCTCCCCCTGCCAGTCTCTGGATTGGTGGGTTGTGACTGGCATGCTTTAAAGATTTCCATCTCTGCTTGATAATGGCAGGCACCCACGTTGCTGAGGGACAGTTGGCGTCTCTTCAGAGGCAACTTAGCTATTGCCGTGACTAAATCCTTTCATTCCATCCCCTCCTCCTTGGGAAGATGGAAGAGCATTAAAAGTGAGGCTGGGGGTGGGGTAGCGGCTAGGAGGGTTGCATCCACCATCTTCCCCTTTGTCCCCCGCTCCCTATTCAGAAAAGCGTCCTTGATGTTGCAGGCTTCCTTCAGCTCGCCAAAGTGGGGATGCGAAGAAAGCCGCGCGATTTTTCTACCTGCAACAAGAAAGCCCTAATGAATTCACGGGACTTTCTTCGTAAGTTGTTGTGCCGCAACGCTAAACAGCGTTAGGTCTTTTAAAAGCTCTTAGACCATTGCACGCAAAATGGGACAGGCGTGCTCTCCCGACTGGATGATACATTCAAAGCTGAACTTATATATATAAAAAAAAATTTGTTTTTCGGCGCGCGAGACATTTTCTTTTCTCCGTCTCGCGGATCAATTAAGACGGCCCTCCGCAGCCCTCCTCTTTCTGTGCCAACCAAAGCGCCTTTTTCCAATAACTGGACTCGCCCCCTCCCCCAAAAAAGGCATATGGATGGGTACCTCAAGGGGGTGGGGTGGAAGAGACAAGGTGCACATGTTGCCTCGCGCAACACAAGGGTTAAGCGGAAGCGGCTTCCCTCGCCGCCTTTTTGGTTGGTGGAGAAATATATAATTATTTTCAGGATTTTTTTTTTTTTTTTTTTACAAATGTCCATTCGTGGAACCAAGCGGGTGTTTGCGCGCCTATCTCGGAAGCCCGTGCCCCTTTCATGTCATTCCCCCACTTCCTTTTAAAGTATTTGTATTGTTAGGTCGGGGAGTAAAGAGTTGATGAAGCAAGAAAGCAACCAATCAGCAACCAATCGCCCTACAAATTTAAGGTGCGGAAAAACAAGACGCTTGTAAGGGACAAGGTATAGGGCGAGTCTAGCGTTTTTTTTCATCCATTCCGGTGAGAGTAGGTTTTTTTTCATCCATCTCTCCTCCCATTTTAAGCTTCGGTATTTGAGGCGAAGAGGGAACCCCCCAGCCCTTGATTGTAAAAGGAGGGGGGGGGACGGTTTTAAGAAATCGCCTTGTTGCAAAGAAACACCGTAGCGTGCCGGTACTTCCAGTCATTGTCTGTTCTTGCGTGCTTTCGCACAGAAACTGTATAGGCAGTTGCAACTATCCAAAACTGGAAACGCTTTTCTACCTTTCCTTGTGGTTAACACTAAAGTGGCGGCATGCGTAAATAAAGATCAATTTGGAAACAAATGCATTTTCGGGCATTCAAGCTCTTTTCTCCAACACCGCAAGTTCCAAGTGTATTGGTTTTAGTTCTTGAAGACTCGGGTGTCTCAATTTACATCGGTAAAGGAGGTTCACCTTCACATACCCCTTTGTCCCGCATCACCCATTCCCACGATTGTATTTGGCCAATCCCGGCTTTTTAAAATTCCATCTCACCAAAGCCTGAAAAACAGCAACTGAAAGTCCAAGTCTGGTGCGCCCACACACTGAGCGTCACTTTCCACCCACTTCGCTATCTTTCCTTTCTAGGGAAGCAGAAGTCCGATTAAGTTTACACCCAGAAAATCTCATTCAAAGAAGCTGGGGGGGGGGGAGGGTGGAAGAGCAGGCCAGGAAAACAGGAGGAGGGGGTCTGCGATGGGGGCTGGGCTATGGCCCTCCTGGCAGCGAGAGGAAACCAGGAATTAGCGTCCTATAGTTGCGCTTCGCTGAAGAAATGCGCTCGATTGGAAAAAGCGGAAAAATTTCTCTTCGCAGGAGAACCGACGGAAACTGTAAATAAAAAACTCAGTAATGTTGAGAAAATATAACATGCCTCGGAACAGGAGTCATTCTATGTGTAGAAAGGGTGCCCCGCCCCCTTTTTGGCTCCACCACGTGGCTTCCTCTTGCAAACATTTTCACTCATTTTTCCAGGTCTATTTTATTTAGGGGCGGCGCTAAGTCCTGCCTCGCAGTCGGAGTCGTCCTTTGCCTCTTTCTCTCGGTGTGCGTGTATGTGTGTGCGCGCGCGCGTGTGCGACACACATGAGTTGCGACTCAAAAGGAGTTGGGGGGCCACTGGAAAAAAAAAAGAGCCATTTTCCCAAGCCCGCCATACGAACTTGCATCCAAATCAACCGGCCCCATTGATTCTGCAAAACAGGGAACATTCCCCCCTCTTTCCTCTTAGATTATCCCCCTCCCCCTTTCCTTCCCACAACCAAAATAGCTGGTTTTTCTTACTTTGCTAGGCCCCCAACATAGAATAAGAAACTTTTAAAATATAAACCAATTGTTAAAAGTTTCGAAAAGCCTAGTCGTCTCCCTCTCTCACCACCCGGTGTATGTGAGTTATTTTCTTCTTTCCCTCCCACCTCCCGTGACTCACTCCCGTTTTGGACCTACCCAACATTTTGTGCAAAAGGCATCAGCCATGAACAAGCTGTATATTGGAAACCTCAACGAGAACGTGACTCCGGCGGATCTGGAGAAAGTCTTCAACGACCACAAAATATCCTTCTCTGGCCAGTTCTTGGTGAAGTCTGGCTACGCCTTTGTCGACTGCCCAGATGAGCAATGGGCTATGAAAGCCATCGAAACTTTTTCTGGTAAGCCAATGGATTTATCGCTCGCTCGTTCTGTCTTTTTCATCTCTTTTTTCCCCCCTTTTCCTTGGAAACTTTGAGACTTTGGAATGAACAATTGCTTTGCAAAAAAAAAAAAAAAAAAAAGGAGCAAACCCGCATAATTTTATAAAACGCATAGTGCCACTCAGAACCGCAAATACTAACGGGCCGGTTCTTTTTGTGGGTGCAAAGACTCGTAAAACGTGGTGTACAAAGATGCGACCAGGCTGCCACACTTTGCTCGTACTCGCGCTTCCGCCCTTTCTTTCTTTAGCTCTCTGTAGTCATCAATGAAAGTTACTTTCGTTTCGTATTTTCCCTTCATCCACTGGGAGGGGGGCACCCCTTCGATTTCCCCCTCCCACTTTTCTCCTTGAGTATTGAACTAGGTGGCGAGTATTTTAACTTGTTGGGCCTAGAATTTCCTATCAACTTCCATAGGCTTTCTAGAGGGCTCTTGTTTTTATTATCCAGCCAAAATGTCCTCCTCACTTAATAAAGTACCCCTATTCTTCTTCTACTACTAGGATATTACATAAATCAGGCCTTTCCTATAAACAAAATTTCATTTGGCAAACCTTGAATTAATATATTCCATGTGTCTGTATGTAGGGAAATGGGTGAATTTTTTTCCCCTTCAGAAAGCCCCCCCCCTCCATTTCTCCCCTCCAAATTAGTGATCTCTTAACAAATAAACAAAACTCTCCATCACTTTAATATCTTCTCTGGGATCAACACTGCCCCACTCGCGTTCTTTCAATGCCATTGGGGATTTATCAAGCAATCCAGTGTTGTATTTTTGCATGTTAAGCGTGTGTGGTACTTCAGGGTGGGAAGTGGGGAAAAAGGAGGGGAGGTGTTGGACTTTGGCCATTTTGATTTAAACAGGGGTTTCCTGGGGCATGTGATGGGTGTATTAGCCTGAAGGTCGCCATGCTGTTTAGAGATTTGAGACAAGAGAAGCAGACGGAACTAGCAGAGCAAACCTAATGTTGACTTTTGCTGAGACCAGATGTTTTGTTCCCTATTTAAAATACCACATCAGAGTTCTGGGCCTTTTTAATGTCACTTTCTTCTCAACTGAATGTTTTAATTTATCTTCTTTTAAAAAATGAAAATATGATATGAATTATCTTGATAGCCAAGCAAGTTGGACGTTGGAATAGGCCTTACAATTCCTGTTTTTTTCTCCTTTTCCTGGTGAACCAGATCTTGTAATGTGTATATGAAAATGAGTTAAATTGTTATCCTTGGAGTAAAATGTGTTTGGTTTTTTAAATCATATATTCTCCATTTGAAATCCATTTAATTTTTTAAATTAAGAGTAGAAAGATAAGAATGTCAATCTTCCCCTTAGTTGAATTAAAACATGAAGAGTAGGGGAAGGAGTAGAAGTTGAGTAATATATGACAATTGATATCCACCTTTTACTTTTTCAGTACACATTTTTTTAAAAAAGCAAACTTGTGTTTTTAGGCAAAGTGGAGTTGCATGGGAAACAACTCGAGATTGAACACTCAGTCCCTAAAAAACAAAGGTAATCCAATTGTTTGTTTTCTTTGAATTTATCTATGTTGAAAAGCGACAGAAGATAAAATGTGTTAAAAATGCTAAACTGGCATAAACAAAGCTAAGTTGCAAGAAGAATATGGTATATTTACATTTTTGTTTTCCACTCCAGAACAAAATTACTTGAAAAACAAACACATTTTTAAAAGCCTTTTGTAAACTGCTTGTTTATTTTTTTTCACCCCAAATTACTTTGGATGCATTAAAGAAACAATTAAATACAGATAGATATTATTACTTTTCATTAACACTAACAGTATAGTTCTTTGGTTTAAATTGCAATGTTATTTATATCAATTTCAACATGACATGACTTCTTTATGCTATGGCATTTTTTTAAAAATCAAGCTTTTTAGTTTTAAATTCTTGTTAAAATTGAGGAAATTAGAAATTTATTGGCCCAATTTCTGGATGTAAAAATACTTGCTTTCTACTTATTTCTGTAACTACTTTGTATTTTTGTGTATGTATGTTTTTATGTAGTGTTATTGCATTTTATACATTTTTGATCTTTTGTTCATTATATTGCTTATCTAGCTTTATTTTGGATGCTTTCACTAAATATGTTATAGCAAACAGCTTTTTCCTTCAGAAAAAAGTTGCAATTAATCCTTAGTCATATAAATCCTAGAAAGTCAACATAAAATGTACAAAGTATTAGAAATTATGGTTCTTTTTTTTTTTTTAGAAGAATGGGAGGGAAGGGTAGCTGCCTATTCATATAATTCAAAAGATTATTTTTGTGCATGATTGACATCACAATTTCCTGCTCTTGTATTCACACTGATTCTCATACTTCTTGGACTTCCAAATCTTATATAGAATGTATTGCTAGAAGACTAAAAAAATATCAGATTTTCTGAAACATTGCAAGAATCCCCAAATCTGTTTAATTAATTTATTGGACCAGTAGCGAGGATTTTGTATAATGGATGAACAGTAATGTTTGTAAACAGTCTTTGTAGGTTAATATACAGAGTATGTATGGTGTTAAAGGGTGTCTAAGAGAAATGTATTCAGGAAACCAATTCCACAGTGAAAAAAACTTAAGAAATATTGTGGGGGGATTGGTAGCTGGAAGAGGGGCAAGAAAAGGAACTTTTATTCTTTAATGATTTTTTAAAAATAATTTGTACAGATTATAAACGATTCTGAGAGATGATTGATTTTTACATAATACTGAAATCAACCAATATATGTGAATTAAATCAACTGCGGAATTGTGTACCTAGTGAATTTTCTTCAATGCTTATAAATATAAAAGATAATTTTTTAAAAAAAATCAAATAATTTCCCAGATTAATATTAGCACATTCTTCTCAGTATAATGGCTGGGTTCAAGATTTTAAAATCTTCCCAAAATTTTAGATCATATCATTTAGTAGATGCTAATATTTTATTGATAGATTTCCCTTATGTATTTTGAACCTTGTGTTCAAATATTGTAATGAAGTTACTGTAATGGTTTCTTCCAAGAAAATTTATATTTAATTCTTATAAAAATAGATTGTTGATTCTTCTGGATTGCTAGGTTAAGCTTCAAGTATGTGTGAGTGTCTTTTTCAACTTGTCTTGGGACTTGATTTTCCTGTTTGGAATGATAACCAGAAGAGGAACAAGTTAATTCAGAATGTTTATAATAGTCCCAATAATAATGTAGCTAGTGAGATGTTTTCTACCACTTATTGAAATTTATAAATATTGCCAGTAATTTAGGTATAGAAATACCTAGGAATGGCTCTCTATATCTTTCAAGTTATCAAAATAAAATAAATCACACTCTGCTTATTTCATTAGAAAAAACATGATCCACATTCTTGAGCCTTGTTCAAACTGTTTCCAGATGCATTGAATTTGTAGTTCCCAGAATCCCCTTCTGGTATGATTCATGCAGGCAGAGAGTTTTAGTTCACTATGACCAGAAAGTGCAGGTTGAAGAAGGCTGAATTAGACAATGAGAAATTCAGGTTATCTAAGGAGGATAGTTTTGGTTAGCTTAAATATTTATTAAATCAGATGCAAAAATTATATTAAAAAAGAGCATTTAATACATATCTTAAAATTTATCTTCACCAGTATTGAAAGTTATTTAAAAACCTTTCTTCATTTTACTGAACTGGCACTTGAAAAATACAATTTGATTTTACTTATTTTTAAAATTTGTAAAATAAACAAATTTGAGATCATATATCTAGCATAATTAGCTAACAAATGCTTTTGAGGTAAATGTTTTGCATTTTAGAAATAACTTTTAGGTAATGATAATTATACTCAATCTTACAAATTTTAAAAAGTTGCATTGATTGAAAAGAACTTCTTCCAAGAAAGTGTGCTTTAATTTGCCACTTGAATATATATAGAGTTAGAAAAAAAAGATTATTTGTGTTAGGAGTGTTTTCAGTTGAACATTTATTGAAAGAAAAAAGAAAAAAAAGTTGGAGAAAATTTGCAATTTTGTCTCTAAAAAGCAGCAAAATTCTGTTAGTGAAGGAAAGAGTTAATTAAAACAACCTCAGAGATGTTTTAAGAACTCAAGAATGTTAAGAAATGTTTGGAGGTTAGGGGCGGGGTTGTCTCCCTCTGAAAAGATTGAAGTGGATAGAATTAGAGAGAGGTTGGGTGGGGGGAGAACAAATAAGAATGGGTAAAAAAAACAAGAGGAGGGGAAATTAAGTGAATCCATCAAGCAAACATTCCAAATGAGAGGATTGGAAGAAAATACCCTAAACAGAATAAACCTTTAAGAACTGAAGTAAAAAAAACTGTTTCAGAAGCATGTTTTTAGCAAGTTAGAAATAGGTATGGTTTTAAATCTTGTTGCCTACCTACAAAAGGATTTTTAAAATCAGGATGTGTGTGTTTGTATGTATACTGATATTTCCTGTTGATAAAGTGTTATATAAGTTAGTGAATAATAAAGTTGCCCTGTGGCTTCCATGCTTTTAAGAGCCTGGGTCCCATCATGATAGAGCTAAAAAGACAATTTTGTCAAAATTGTCCTGCATTTATATATTAAAAGATGTTCTCTTACTTATCTGCTCATTTATGATATTGTTTTTTTAAAAAAAATCTATGTCTTATCTGGACTGCTATGTTTTACCAGATGAGTACCACTGAGCATTTTAAAGATGAATATAAATACTCAAGGTTCTGTAAAAAGGAGGGATGAAATATTTTGATATGGATGCTTGTGTAATCTTGTATAGCTTCAATTGAAGTTGGTAGTATCTGTGGTTGTCTGTACAAAAAATAAAGATGTCCTTTATTAATCTATTCAGATTATGCCATCAACATTCCATGGTAAATGTCTGCATCATAAAGCTTAAAGGAACAATTTACATTATTTTCTTAATTTTAATTTATATTCGTTGTTTTCCAGTAAAAAGATTAAAGTGATACTTGTTTGCATCAACTATAATAGCCTCAGGAGAAGATAAAATACTTTCTTGATGCTAAAAGAATTTTTAAAAAGTTAAAATATATTATTCTATAATTTTTTGTTTTGCTTTCCATAGAAACCTTTGGAGGATTTATTGGTATCTTTTTGTATAAATAAGAAATAAACCCAGTTTATGAACTGGGTTTGCATGTAGTAATAAACTTTAAATAAAAGAAGAGAAGCAAGCTAAAAATTACATATTGACTGCATATATGTTTTATGAATTGGTTTCAAATCCAAGAATTTGAGGGACAGCTGAATACTGATTTACCATTGCTGTTCAGAAATAAAATTAAGATGAACTCTCAAAATAATCCCACTCTGTTATGCAACCAACATGTAGGTATGAGTTCCTGGTATAGAAATGTAACCTCATGATTCTGTTTGGGATAATGCATGTTTCATATATTATGCTGTTACTGGATATGTACTGATGTTCCCATGTTTTAGGCATAATAAATCTTCATAAAAGAAACTTCACAGATTTTTGGGGAAAAAACTTGCTTTCTTATTCCTTTAGGTTAAGGACAGACATCCTATAGGTCACTTGCAGCAATCAAAATTCTGCTGGAGGAATTCATTGCAAAATGGCTTAATTTTGGGAGAGATTAATAGAGAATCGACAAGTTTGGAGATCTGCTCCCATATGTATCTTTAAAGTCTCCCTAAAACCAAAACAAGTTCAGAAACAGTTGATTATGTCCTATCTGGTGATTTCACAGGATCATTAGTTGATTTCAGTTAGTGTTGTAGTCCTTGAGCCCTCAGATGCTGTACACACTTTTAACAATTAACAGAAATATATCTCTAATTGGAAAGTTGAGTTATATTGTATAGACATTTGAAATGCAATCTTGTTGATGTTTACTCAGAAAATAACTGCATGTGAAATTGCAATCTTGCTGAGTTTTTATAATTTTAAAGTGTCAAGGGAAGGAAGTAGGAAGTTGCAACCTGTTTCATCTAGTTAAAACAGGATTTTTTTCACTAGTTAAAAAAAACTTTAGGTTTGCAAAGAAAAAAAATGAATAGAGTTAAATTTTCACCTCAGAAGTGGGATTTCTGTTGTTGCAATCAGTACTTAGTTTACAGAAGAATAATGAAAACTATACATTCAGTTTTGAAAATCTAAACATAAGAGAAAATACATAACATCCCAGTTTTAGGAAATCTTGCGTAAATGGCTTTCAGTTTGAAGAAATTTTCAGTTATGGCTAGTATTAGATTTGATAAAAAGATTGCAATGTGAGAAAAATTAGAGGTAACATGACTTTGGGCCACTCTCTCTCAGTCCAATCACAAGGTTGTTAGGGAGAAAAAAATGAAAGAATGGTATGTGCATTGCCTGAATTCCTGAAGGAGAGTAGGATATAAATTTAACAAAATAAATAACTTCATCTAAGGGATAGTGGATCTTGTGTTAAGATAATCAGATATATTAATATGTGTATGTGATACTTTAATACTTGCTTGTGCACATATTAAAGACTGGTAGAATTAAAGCATATTTTTCATATTCCACCTTGTGC